TTGCTAGGTGGCTAGTCTTGTGCAGCTTCTAGAATGCTTAGAATATTAATGCATGAAGCAGAGATTGAATGCTTTCTATACTTCCATAATGACAGAGTGTCTTGTTTAAATCAAAAGGCAAGCTAAAGTAATGTATAATACATTAATGCCAATAAGTGTTTAAGAGAAAATATCCCTTTTGGGGGATATTACATCAGAGCCATAAAATTTGGCATTTCTTTCCCCTGTTTATACATGACAGTGTATATTAATTTTTGTAGAACTTAATTTCCCTCCTAGATGGTTCTTATTCTGAGGTGCTTTGAATTTTCCTGAGCAGAAACAATCTGACATTTAGGTGAAGGTTGTTGTTCTGTTTATAGTAGGCTCCCAAAGTATAAATTTATTGTTGAGACAATGTATGTTGAAAGACATGTGTATTTGATCTAATGTTTACTGTGTTGTTCTTTATCATTTCTTGCATTTCCTCATTGTTTTGCTTATTTTGCTTTGTTTTCGTTCTTACTCCTCACAATACTTGTTATTTTCTCATCTTCTTTATAGTTTTTTTTCTCAAATTTTCTTTGTCACCGTCTTGCTCTTACTCCAGTGACTATGGATGCACTTCAGGGATTTCTTTAACCCCTGAAATTGTAGCAATAATTTTCTCATAAATTCATTTATCTGGGGGACTAAGTGCTCGATTAACTGCTTCTTAACCATGCAAATCCACTTTTTAAAATTTCATTTTATTCAGCTATTACATTACCAGTGTATAGGGTTAGACTATTTAATCTTTAATATCCCATTTGTGATTTACAAACTGCAGATCATTGAAACCACCACCAAATGAAAAATCATCCGATAGGCCCAGCTTGCACAGTGCAGCTGTTGGTACTTGCTGGATGAAAAGCTTGACCATACATTGGGCTGTCCATCAGCATTGTCAGGTGTGGTGAATCTACACTTCCCTTCCTATCTTCCACTTTCTCTCCAGAGGGCAAAGGTAGCTGTAGCCAATTCAAATGGTCCTGAGCAGACAATTGTCTCTCTTTTCTAAAAATGGAAGTACTGCTTTGCACTCACTAGAATTTCCCAGTTATCCCCATCGTTCAACCAGTATAGACTATGAGAGGATGCTTACTCATTTATTCTAAGAGACAATGAACAGCATTATGGGCCTAACATATAGCACCATTGTATTCATAAGCTTGAGGATGTAAAACTAATCACTAACATTCTTAAATGAGGTAAATATTCATATTTATAAACATTAAGACTATTAATTCTGGTGAGTGTGTTTGAATATCTATAAATCGGAAGCAATTGAAGAGCTGAAATTCAGATTTCCTCACACTTGCCTGCCAAGTGGCCTCAATCAGAAGTAATTTTCTCCATGAGGGCACATGGAGCTCAGTCGTGAGCCTTTTCTGAGTAGATATTATTATTTGTGTCAAATTATGTGTGGTGATTTTTCTGAAGTGGACTTCTGTGCCCACTAATCCATACACAGGAGGTTCCTTCATTCCCTCCTTCATTGGTGCTATTAATTGTACTTGTGCTTCAAGTGTCTCTTACCCTTTTAAAATGTTGGTTTATGGCCACCGATTATCTATAAGCTTTTCCTGTTAAAGAAACATGCAATATAGAGAGTAGAGTGAGATCTGATCTTAAACCATAAATACTATGCATTTTAAAAGAAACCACTTTCCCAGAACCTGATTTGATGGTATAGCTAAAGAAATGGTTAGTTATTTCACATTTTAAAGTACAGTAAATTATATAAAGCTGATACTTGCTTTGGAAGAAATATAAGGTGGTCATCAAATGACCTGCCTGTGTGTGGCCTGTTTGAAATATTGGCAATGAGATCTCATGTTCAAAAAATTTTGAACAAATAAGCATAATGATTTTTCACCTTTTACTTGAATTTTGGTAACTTGTTTTTAAACATATAGGTGCTTCTTTTTAACTCCATGCTTGGAATTGCAAAGCAATAGCCAACATGTAAAATAAAACAACCCCTGGAATAAATAATATTAAGATCTTGTCAATAACCTTAATAAATAAAAGATTATGCATACATAAACATACATGTGTATCTCTGTATATATAAAATCACCATAACATGACTTTGAGAATTAAGAAAAAATAAATGCTTCATGTGTACTTTTTTCTTTCAAATTTTCCCATGAGCATTTCAGTGTGATTTTTAATACAATGATTAAATTTAAATTGATATCATACTATTGAAGCCAATTTGTTGTCATTGAGCATTTTAAATAATTATTCATTACATATTCTTAATAAATCCTCATCTAAAAAAGTTAGTATATATGCTTATAATTTTATTTTTTTAAAGGAAAGCATATTTATTACTGTTAATATGTATAATAAGTATACATTCTTTTTAGTATATATAGGCTTTTATAATTGAAGAACATCAAGAAAAAAAGAACTTCTTTTTAAATTTTTCATATGAAAATATCTATTGGAGCTTTACTTTTCATTAGTAAAACTCACAGTATATATTCCAAAAGAAGTATATATATCGAAAGAAGTATATATTATAATTTCTGTTATAACTGATATTAAAAGTTACTTTACATATTGATTTACTGTGGGTATACATTATGTCAATAAAAATAATAGTAATCAAATATTTTATTTTTGGTAGACCTATAAGACTATCTATCTGACTTTGGGGAGGTGTCTAAATATTTTAGTTGACTTTCATTAATTTGAGAAGACCAGCAAGAGAGCTGTCAATTTTTGAAGACTAGATCATTAAGCATCTATGAATAAATAATTATGTTAATATCAATTAACCATTTCCTAAGTTATCTATGTTTTATAGTTTTGTTTCTGAAGGAATGCATTCATAACTACCAAAGAGTGGTTTGCATAGCAGTATGTTATATTAATTAAAAGTATTTTTAAAATCTCTTGGCTCATGCCTGTAGTCCCAGCTTCTCTGGAGGCTGAGGTGAGAGGATCACTTAAGCCCAGGAATTTGAAACTGCAGGAAGCTATGATTGCACCACCATAAGCCAGCCTGAACTACTAAGTCAAATTCTTTCTCAAAAAATAATAATAACCTTGAATTTTCACAGTAACTTTTTCACTTGTCAGTTGGAAACCTTATTTTAGTTAACTAACCTCCTGAACTTCATTTTTCAAATCTACAAAATAATAATAATTCTCATACCTACTTCACTGGGTTATTTTAAAGATCATGTAAAAAAGTGCTTTGAATAGTATTTCATTTTGTATATATACCACAGTACATCCATGTAACAAAACTGCCCTTATACTCCTTAAATTTATAGAAATAAAAATATAGAAAGTGATTTGAAACTCCTACATGAAACAAATGATATAGCTTATGTCTTCTTTTGATTAAAATTTGTTGTTATAATTACATTTTTTGAAAATGTAAGGGAAATATTCTATTATAGTTCTCATTAGACTTAGCATTGGTAATTAAACTTATCCCTTGAAATTATCAAATAAATGCTTTAAGGACTGCAATATTTTACATTATTACTATTTTATATATACTTTGCTTGTCTTGATTTTTGACATAATTATTCTAAAAGTGAAAGGTTATAAATTTTAAACTTGAAACAGTTAATAAGATAAAATCTAATATGAGATGCATGCCTTTTTAATGTGGTTGGTGCAAAAACGAAATCCATGGTTCTTCGTAACCCTCTACCTTGAGCATAAGGAATGTATAATAAAACACGACATGACCAGAGTGGAATTAGGGCATTCTTTTCTTCTTAATAATTGCTCCTTTGAAGAATAGAAGGTAAAACAGATTTTTAAAGGACAGAGACTCTGTAAGAAATGTTTAGTTGGATGTCCCCTCATTTAAACCCATCCAATTATTCTGTCTATGCAAAGCTGTCATATGACTTGAGTCCCTTGAAAACTTGCTTTTTGGGGAAACACTAGATACAATACTTATTTATCTACATAGATATAAAAATTATAGTATATTCAGTATTTAAAATTATTTATAAGATTGCTCCTTAGGCCCTGGAAATTTTCCAGCACATATCTAACAAGTAAGAGCGAGAGGCTGCTTGAGCCTTTGAGTATTTAGCCTGTCTGATGAGACTGCTGCCATGAGTGACAATTAGTACAAATTACCATAATTGTGTTCATTGGATAAAATGCCACATCACTTCTTTAGGAGCAAATGCAGCTTCCACTTAGTAAAATGAGTTGGGTACTTTGATTCTTTAGAGGCAGTCAGAAATTCACAATCAGCCCAGTGGTATTCCCATGTAGTCCACTTTAGATCGGTCTGAACAACTCCAGCCCTCCCTTTCCTTTCAATAAAATAGGTCCATTAATGTAGCACACCTCACTCTCATTCTCTCCAAGGGAGTTGTATTTTTATTACTGAAAAAGTATCACATAAATACAAATTACATTTTTTCATTAGAAAACCACTTTTCATTTCAGAAAAAATTCAATTAATTATGAATAGGGTTATGCTTTCATCAGGGAGAGAAATATGTAATTTTTCTTCAAGCCTCAAACACATATAATGAAATCTTTTCTCCGAATCCACTCTTAAGATGGATTTTTAAAAGTATAGACTTTATTAAAATCTCAGTTCAATTAAAATGCATTCAATTACTTTAAATCTTTATTAAAATCTCAGGTAAAATTGTACAACAGTGTAAAAGAGACTTGTACTCTTTACCAGGCAGTTAATTCTAACAAATGAACATAAAGTGCACAGTTTTGCTCTTAAAGAGAGAATCAAAAAAATAAGTTTGAGGCTTGAGGTTGGGGGTGGGGAAGGAACGGAGATGCAGGTTGCTTTCCATGTTATAGCTTACAACACTAGTTTCCTTGGACCTTTCTTGTGTGAGTCCTTGGTGGAACTACTTAGAGTATATTATTTTCCTCATCGTTGTAACAAGAAAAGGCTCTGTTTAAGGATTTTATTTCACTGTCTTCCTTGGATATTTTTGGTACAGTATCCCTGATTCTTTTTCAAGGGCCGCTTGAAGATGCCATTGAAGATGAGGAAGAAGAATGTCCATCAGAGGAAACAGACATCATCTCCAAAGGAGACTTTCCATTGGAGGAAAGCTTTTCCACAGAATTTGGACCTGAAAATCTGAGCTGTGAAGAAGTGGAATACTTCCGTAACAAAGGTAACTGTTGATGGTTGGATGTAATATGTGAGTCCACTGGGATGATTTTGTAATGTTTTAAAAAAATGCACAATAGTGCTTAAGGTGCTGACACATAATTCAACTGTCTGAAAACAAGTGCAGATTTTTTCAAACATAAAATTTTATTTCGAGGGACACAAGTAACTATTCAATAGCTGGTAATTTTTTATATTGAAACAAATATTTTCATGTTGATTGGCCAATTTACTATTCACATTCTTTATGTTATTGGCCAATTAACTATAATACATTTAATGTTGATCATTTATTCATTCATTCATTCCTTACACAAGAATTTATTGAATGTTAATTGTTTGCAAGGCACTAAATTAGGCATTAAGTATTAGCACTGAGTGAGGCAGAGAGTTCTCAACTAAGGTTCCAGCTCATTCCTTTTGAAAACTGAATGCTCTAGGTTTTTATTGTTGACTTTCAACAGTGAGAATGGTGCTTTTGACACATTAACAATATAATCCAAGAAGCACTTGAGACATATTGCAGCTTATTTTCAGCCATGAACTGGGGCCAGATGGCCTTGCCAGTGCCTATGTTCTCATGGAGCATATATACTCATTTAGTGTTTACTTTTTTCATAAGTCAGTTTAAGGTTTCTTATGATTCTTATATACTTATTTTTATTTTATTGTTTTTCAAGTCTTTTATCTCCTCCTGCACCAATGTACAGTTTTCACAAATGCCTGGACCACTTCCTTGGTTTATAATAGCTGCTTTTGCAGAGGACATAACTGGAAGTGTGTGTCCGTTTCTGTATGTTTGTCTGTGTTTGTGTATGCACCATTTTTATTCAGATGTGTTTGCTTTTCAGGCAGATAAATGTAATAAAGTGGACTTTTGTGTGTGTGTGTTTGAATTGGTTAATCAGACTTCCTAGTCTGATTAACACAGTGACAATGTAGCTTCTCAAAAAAGTGTCAATACACCTATCTTGGTGGCCATGTATATATTTAATCATTAAAAATTCCAGTATCGTTTTCTCTTGTTGATGGTGTCAACGGAAGATGTCAGAAACAAAAGATGTCAGTCAGCTCCCATCCCTGTGGTCAGTAGAACCCCAGGCCCTAAAACTGTGGAAACAGAATGGCAGCATGAGGACCTAGACACATTGAAATTCATAAAACCTCCTTAGCCATATAGACCTCAAGATGACATGTAGCATGGTCCTTGTCTCCTACATCAGAGATTTTTAATTGAAAATGAGAAAAGTATGAATGGAATAGGCCTTTTTCCTAGTGTTGACTCAGATTTCAAGCCAAATTAATATTTTTCTTAGTTGCTAGAACCATTTCTTGATGATATGTAGCTATGGCAATAAATCTAAGACCTGGCTAGAGATGGAGAATTTTTTAATTTATGCGTGAAGACATCTCAATTTTTTTCTTATTAGGAAATATTTCCTTTTGTGCGTTGTAGAGTACCTACCTTATATTGTGATATTGCAATAAAGAGAGGAACTGAGAGTTAGAAGGTGATTAAAAGAGTTAATGTATGGATTTATACCTTTAGTCAATTTAATTTATCTAGGAAGGCAGTATGATAGATATTGTATGAATTTTTAATTTGGGAAATATCTCTGCTTAAGGGCAATGTTTATGAAAGAGTACAGAACTCCAAGTTTTAAAGTAGTAGTTTCTTGGGAGAAAATAGATTTATAGCAAATGCTTACATGCTAATGTAACTATGTCTTAGGAAGGTCACCCCAGCCATATTCCCCAGAGTCCTAACTCATGAAAAAGGCTGACAGGCCTTTAGGAAGTAAGAAAACACATTAAATTAGAATTTTTCTAATTATAAACACTTGAAAAAAATGTTTAAAATCAGATGTGCAGAAAATAATATTTAGTATATGATATAGAGACCATATTAAATAATATATAACATGTATGTATTATAAAACAATTCTCTAATGTTTAGATTGAAAGTAGAAGCTCATAATGGATGGGAATAACAATTCTTATTTTCACATGATATTTTTCAGGATGAATAGTAATATTACTATGGATAGGAAAATAATTTTATTATTGTAGTCTCACAGAATGTATGACCATGGAATTCTCACTGAAGTCTGTTGGAACTGGTACAAAAGAATGAATGTTATCCATTCTTCACTTAAGTTGATTACCTACAATAGAAAGAGAATACTTTCTCTCTGGAAAATTAGAAACTAATCTTTCTGTTGAAATTCTCAATTTTTCTCATTGACACATAATTATGTGTTATGGCCAATTTTAAGGAAGATGACAGATTAGCAATTAAAAGAGTAGAAGTATTTAAATGGTTAACAATGCCACTGTCGTTATTTGAAAAGCATATAGGACATGTTCCTCTAAAGAAAGATATTTTTAGCACAGGTGTGGTGGCTCATGCTTGTATCCCAAGGCCAGGATTTGGGAGGCCAAGGTGGGTGGATCACTTGAGGTCAGGAGTTCAAGACCAGCCAGGCCAATGTGGCAAATCCCCATCTCTACTAAAAATATAAAAATCAACTAGGTGTGGGTGTGATGGTGGACACCTGTAATTCCAGCTACTCGGGAGGCTGAGGCAGGGAGAATTTTTTGAACCCAGGAGGTGGTGGAGGTTGCAGACAGCTGAGGTGCAGTGGTTGAGCCATTGCACTCCAGCCTAAGCAAGAGAGCAAGACTCCCATCTCAAAATTAAAAAAAAAAAAAAGAAAATTATTTTGGGTTCATTAATGAAACATTCTTTTTGTACATATTTTAAATCATTTATGACAATTTAAAAATGGTTGATATTTACTATAAAATGATTTGGATTATTTGGAAAGTTTCTTGTTCTAAAAGCTAGCCATGACCAAAATTTAGCTGTGACCTAGTTACTTATGTGAGTCTCAAGTATAACAATTTTGCACATTGGATTTTTTTTCTTATTAAACAAATGATAGCTTAAAAGTTCAGATCAAAAAATGTGTCTAGAAAGCCTAAGTTCTCCAAACAAGCTATTTTGGCACATTATCAGGAGAACATACTGAGGATACACATAGAGTTACTACATCTTTTTATTCATATATTAGCAACTGCATTGTATATAAAACCAATCATGTTTTAAAAACTTTTTTTAAAGAAAAAGAAAAACTCTACTCTTTACATTTCTGAAGACATGGCTTATAAATTTTCTACTTCCTCTTGACATTAAGCATCTGTATTATAAAGGATATTTTCAGTGATTAACTAAAATTACAGTGCTTCAAATGGCTCTTATTATTGTCATATTTTTCTCAGTTCCACACTGATATTGTCTATGTTCTTGTTGAAGGGCAAGTTTTTCTACAAGTTTCAAAATTGCATTTACTAATATTAGTAAAGTTTCTAGTCATTATAAACCATGTGATTAAATGAAACCCAAATCACTCTTTTAATGTAAGATTCTACAGAAAAGTCCAAGATTGTTGGTCAGAATTTTATGTTAGCATAATGTATAAAATTCTTACTTATATAAATCCATCTCAGAGAGACTCTTATTATAGTTGCATGCTTAAAATTTGAGCCTGGCAATTCTAATGACGTTTCCTGTGTCTTTTTATTTTGGATTAGTTGCATATTTCATGTTCCTATTTTTCATTTGTTTGAAATGAAATGAACTATGTTTATAAAAAGATGCTACTTGAAATTTACTTTGATATCTTTAGATTTTAAACATTTTAGCAAAATGTAAAGCAATACTTTCAATTTACATGGTCATCTTTTGTTCATGAGTTTAGATTACTTGGCATCTTGCCTTTCAGTATCTCTGGGAGGAAGGAAACAAGCAAGAATTGTTTCCTTGAATTTATAGATGACGAAGACATCAAGACTGTCCATAAGTGCTACATATTTCCTGTGGTCCCGAATTTTTTGATTCAGTTATTTTGTCTGCCTTTCTTCTGGTTTATGTGCCAGACATGGAAGTATATCAATGTATTTGTAGAACTAAGCAAACCAATATGAACTGAAATATAGGAGGCCCGGAAAGCAACCTTGGGAGTTTTTAGTTATGTCACTACTGGCAGGTGGGAACACATATATGAGAAATTCTTGAATAAACTCAAAGACAGTGAGTTTCAGAGTGGGGTTGGCATGGAGTAGTTCTCTAATAATTGTAAAGTAAAATAAACATATTTCAGGATAAATTTCAGGAGAATGTCCCAAAATATGTGAACTGGAAGAATCAGATCAATGTCACTGGATGCTAGTAGAATGTAATACAATTTAAAAAAAGATAACTCAGGTGAGGGGAGTGAGGGATAAAAGACTACGCACTGGGTCTGGGTACAGTGTACACTGCTCAAGTGCTGGATGCTCCAAAATCTCAAAAATCACCACTGAAGAATTTATTCATGTCAACAAACACCACCGGTTCCCCCAAAACCTATTGAAATTAAAACAACAACAACAAAGATAACCCCGAAGAAGCTACATGTAAGTGAACTTTGAATTACTATAATGATTATCTGGAAAGGTAAAAGAGGATCCTTACAAATTGTTTGCTGATGTCACGATCCCTAAACAAAGGCCAGAAAGAAAAATGATGCCATTAAAGTTGTTTTGGGAAGAAAAAAATCCTTATGCCTGGTCCTTGCATCTAGATATGGAGAATGGTCAGAGACATACTTGGGTATCATTAATGCCCTAGAAAAATGAACTAAAATTAAAGCTCTTCAATTTGGAAATATTAGGGTTAAAAAGAGGGGTCATGATGGAAATACATAAAATAAGGAAAGATACATGGTATAACAATGGAAATTCTCACCATATTCAAAACGAGTCGACCTAATGTGCAGAAAACTGTTATTTGAAAGACTCTTTAACATAAAACATGGAAAACATATTAATGACGATAGAATAAAAACCTGAGTAGGATTACTCAGACATGGATTTAATGTTAGCCCCAGAAGTGATTAATACCAATCAAAAGCAAACATAATCAGATACTTAATGGGACTGGCAGAAACTTTAATTTTCGTT